CATGATCAGCTGTGTCCAATGACAGCAGATCACTGAGTAAATACAGTTGCTGGTTATCGGCAGCACTTTCCTCACGCTGTCATAGCGTGAGGAAAGTACTGACAATAACCATCAGCTGTAACAGAGCAGATCGGCACTGATGATCAGTGCCCTGCAGTGCCGCCCACCAGTGTCACCCATCAGTGCCCATCAGCACCACCCATCAGTGCCTCCCTTCAGTGCTGTCAGTCAGTGCTACCAGTCAGTGTCACCCATCAGTGCCCAACAGAGCCACCTATCAGTGCCGCCTCATCATTGCCATCTCATTAGTGCAGCCTATCAGTGCTGCCTAACCATGCACACCTCATCAGTGCCCATCAGTGCTGCCTATTAATGCAGCCTCATCAACGCACATCAGTGAAGGAGAATTACTTGTTTGCAAAATTTTTAAAATAGAAACAAAGAAAAACTTTTTTTTTCAAATTTTTTGCTCTTTTTGTTTATAGCGCAAAAAAATAAAACACCCAGTGGTGATTAAGTACCACCAAAAGAAAGATATATGTGTGTGAAGTAAATTATAACAATTTCATAAGGGTACAGTGTTGCATGACTGCACAATTGTAAAAGTGCCAGTAGCCAAGTGGTTAATTACTGCAGCATTGGGTGGCCAGAGCTAGGAACTCAACCTTTCAACATAGCACTTTCTTTTCAGTTGTTACTTATGTTCTTTTTGATGGTCTGTACTTCCTCATACCTTATTTTTAAATGTAAAAATGAATGTAACACCCTGCTATAATACCAGTTGCAGGATGTTAAGAGAAACACAAGATGGCAGTGTCCTGTAATCCAGTGGCACTCACACTCTAGAACAGCCTCATGAACCTTACTTGCTGAACCTCGGGACTTTGTTGGGGAGCAGTGTATCAGAAGACTACATTTCCCAGAGGATCTGGCGTGTGGGTGGGGGCATTTATACACAGAAGCCCAGGACACTGGACAGAAAGTGAGCAGAGGAAGAGCTGGAGAGCAGGAGTGAGGAGAGGGTTGTGCCAACTACCAGTGTACTGGACCAGGCCGCAGAGCCAGTGAAGAGAGAGACAAGGAGGAGTCACTGACCTCTAACCTAAGCAAACCTGTTCAGCAAGACATTCTGCCAGCAGGTGATCCGGAACGCTCTGCCTGAAAGGAACACTGCAGGTGGGACTGGAGAACCTGTGGGGGTCCCGTTAACAGAGAGTAAGAAATTGCAGGGATTGTAGACATGTGCCAGTAAGACTGCAGGGACCTGACTGATGCCACAGATGGGGTGAGAGAGTCCCATACACCAGCCAAACAATTGAAAACTGACATTCCTTTCAATCTGCCACTTTTCTGCACACAGAAATTGCATATAGTTAACATGTGTTAACTATATGGGCTGCTACTACTGGACACATTTGCAGCATAGTTCAATCATGAGAGGTGACCGTAGGGCATGCCTTCTTCAGGCCAACCACATCATTGTTCCCTTTACCACTGGCCTACCCTCTTCAAGGAACATCTACCACCATTGCCATTAGTTACTGCAGCCCACAGAGGAGTTGCCCTTTGCCAGTAAATGCTTCTGCCAAATTCTGACACCTTTTTGCCTAAAATTTGTAACCTGCTTAGTGCATTAAAGAGACACCAGCCAAGTCAAGTGCCACTTAAAAGGAATAGACTTGTTCTTCCTTTTTTTTGCTCTTGTATTAATCCTCTGAGGGATTGCCACCATCATCTCTTTACACTTAAAAGGTCTGGATCGTTGTAATGCACCAATTGGGCCCCAACAAGCACGCAGAAAATTCCTCACTGCATTTAAAGGAATGTTGACTACCCTAATTAATGAGCTATTTTCTATCTCAGATTTAAACCTTGCCATCAGATCCTGAGAGCCCAAAGTGAGCTAGTTTAACCTTTGATAGTTTTCCTTGCTCACTAAAAAACACCTCAGGTTTGAGGTTCTGGATTGACTTCTGAATACAAAATCCTGATATACCATATTTGTATTATAATTGTTATACTATTTGTAATTTTACTAATGTATCAGTCAGTTTGATTAGTGCATGAAAGTGTGCTCATTTTTTATGCTGTCGCCTAGCCTGAGATAAAGTATGGTTTTAGCTTTCTGGACTAGATTAAGTGGTAACAGGCCTGCCAGCACTGATTGAGATTTTGCTGTATGTGTTGTTTTCTTTGCTTAGGGTTGCTAAGAGTGGTAATTGCCATTATATACACTTATATCACTTTATGCGGTTTTACCGAGCTTACAGCCAAGTTTAATATAAACATCATATTAGTTCAGTCTAATCTGTGTACGGGTCTATTTTCTGGCGATAATTTACTCTGGTCAGAGGAGTACTGCAGTGTCAGCAGGGGTTGGGATTTCAGAGAGGGGTCCAGAGTGACAGAGAGTCTGAAAATTATTCAGCGGCTCCTAAGGGGGTAGTGCTACATAAAAGACTGCAAAAAAAAACAAAAAAAACAAAAAAAAGATTAGGGTGTACTGCAGTGCTTTTTATCCTGTCAATTTGTTTGAATACATGAACCCAATAATCCACTACTTCCAATTTGTGTTGCCTACAACTAGTGAAATACAGCAACCTAATACCACTGATGTCTTTTTTATCCAGTTCCAGTCAGAGAGTTTGGAGTATAAGAGTTCAAAACACCTTAAAACTGCCATTCTATATTATCAAATAATGCTCACATGCCATTGCTATGTACATAATGTACATCTTTTATACAGAAAAATGCTGTGTTCTCTGCTCCTGTGAAAATAATTCTAAAATAGTTTCAAGAAGATAACCACTGAGCTGTGTTTAAAAAGATTTATTGGCAAAACTTGTAGTACTCCACAATTTCAACAAAGCTTCATTATTTGTAAAATGCATTGCACAAAGCCAACACAAACAAGCAATCTCAAGACCTTTCAACCAGTTACCACTTAATCTAGTCCAGAAAGCTAATACCATACTTACCTCAGGCTAGGCGACAGCATACAAAATGAGCACACTTTCATGCACTAATGAAACTGACTTACATGATACATTAGTGAAATTACAAATAGTATAACAATTCTAATACAGAGATGGTATATCAGGATTTTGTATAAAAAAAAAAATCTCATTTAAACATATATTTACAGTATATATTTGCAGAATATAATTCAGAATTAAAAAAATTTTTAATAGGATAACCTTTGCACATTTCATCAATTATCTCCCATTTTTTCTTACACGTTAAACTGGTGAAATGATATACTAGTGCCTGCATGCAGTGACCAATACCAGCAACAAAAATTCACCTTTAATTGCTCTGATTATACTACACTAAAGTCTTATTTGTTGTTTTCACGTAGTAAAATAAGTGAGCGCTAAAGGTTGTTGTACCTGCTGAACACCAAAAGGCACCAAACAACCTCAAAAAAACTAAATAAACAAAAGGGTGCAGCGCTAAAAAATCATATACACAGTAAATATGAGCAAATATATGGTTAATCACTCTAGTGACTTAGTGTGCTCACTAGTTCCTATTACGTCTATACGTAACACACCATAGTGCATAAATGAAGTGCAAAAAGAGAAAACAGTCCACATATGTAATGAGTATCCGTGTCACTGCACCGTGACTGTTCAGTATTACATGTAAGTATACAGTGCACAATATCCCAGTAGATGTGGTGATAAAGATCACAAGGATCCTAGCGGTATATACAAAAGGTGATGGTGTCCAAAACTGATAAAAGACTGCGCACTCACCAGATGCACAATCAGTATGCACATGTAAGAGATAACACCTCTTAAGGTAAACATGGGATTCCTTCTGAAGTGGTCTGGTCTGCCTCTGTATCTCTGCTCACTCAATAAACAGGTATGGCAGTCACTTCCTTAGCCATGGCTCTTCAGGTGGGGGGAAGCTCACAAAGAGCCCCAGGAAAAAAAGGGAGACCAAATAGCGTGATACTGCTATTACTGTAGTAAACTTTATTAACCAGCAAGCATAAGGAATATAGGTAACAGCTACTGACCAGATATGGATCCAAGATGGTTTTTGGTACTGTAGGCAAGGATTAATTTTGCATTAACCAACAATGTTTACGTCATTTTCAGTTCCTGATGATTTCTTGCTATTCCATGCATTTTGCACACTCCTTCATTTTCATGCTCTGTAGAGCCCACCTTTTTCAAAGCCAATCATGTAGGTTGTCATGGATCCTAGGGGTGGTAAGGAGACCCTGTTAGGGAGGCTGTTGAGGCTAATTAATTAGTTCCCCTCTAGAATTTTTTTTTTTTTTTCCATTTTGTGCACACGTTAAATATTGAATTTTTAACTATAAAATTAGGTCCCATAGAGTATAAAAGATGGTACGTACAGTATGCCCTTGTGTCTTTAAAGAGGGGTGTGCTCCCTCCAGGCATACCTGCCCATAATCTATCCATACGTGCGCCTACTAAGAAGGCTCTGGAAATTTAGAGTTAGGACTGAAAAACGTTCTGCTTTTAACATAAACTGTTAGACAAGAAAGCAGCCATCCATCCATCCATCCATCCATCCATCCATCCAATCAACTGGGGAGGAGAGGGGGGGACTTGAACTTAGAAACCGTTAGAGCGTAAGCTCCACAGTCCAGTCTCCGTTAGTGCTGATAGCCCTGATGGCTCATCTGTGTGCAGGGAGGAGGGGAAGACATGATAGAGCAGCTCATCCTATGGAGAATGCTGGGTAGCCTCCCTGGCAGTATTCCCGAGTGTAGCTCAGGGTAAAGTTTCAGTACCACAAGCGGTAACCCCGAGCTAAACTCGGGAATACCTTGCAGCGCTGCTCTGGGATCTCTTGATCACTTACCTTGTCCTGCGATCCCGCGATGTCCCTCCTGCAGTGTCCCCGGCAATTCTCCAGTGGATGCCGGCATCTGTCATCTGGCTTCCATCCCCTGCGACGTTGGGACGTAGGGGGATGGAACAGAGGGAAATTTGAAAATGACAAAAAGTGACATTCACTAAAATCACATAGTAAAACATTACTGTTTCAAACCATTTCACATACATTTTGTCCGTACTGCTTTGTCCTGTGTCCTGCCTGCATTTTGACTGTTCTTTCTGCCTGGAAACTTAGAAAAGTCCATGGCGTCCAAAAAGCGTCCCTTTAGGTTAAAAGCGGTTTTAGACCAGCTAGAGAACAGCGATAGTAAATCAGAACCACTTGCAGAATTGAGTGATGATTCGTGGGGAAATTCAGCATCAGACACTGAAAACTGTTTTGCTCAGTGATGTGCAAACTTGTCGCTATATTTCAAATTTCAGTGTTTTTGGTTTGATTATATTATTGAATTAAATGTATTATATTATTTTTTATGATTATTTATTAAATTATACTTTATTATTTCGGGTTTCAAGTTTTATCCTACCCCGGATGTTTACTAGACTCTTCTTCGGACAGATTTCAGTGAGTTATTCCTAAAAATTACAGGCCTACAATAAAAAAAATACATATTTCCATGCAAAAAAAATGTACCGCTTTGAGCACAGAAATATGGACATAATCAGACCGCTAGGGAGGTTAACAGAGAGCTTCTGGAGACTGGACTGCAGAGCACAAGCTCTAACAGTTTCTAAGTTTAAGTCCCCCCCGTCCTCCCCAGTTGATTGGATGGATAGCGGTTTTCTTTCCGTGTTACCTGCATTGAGCAGCCTGGCCAGACAGAATAAAAATGCATTCACAGAGTTTCATGTCAAGACATGTGTACCTGCCTAAATATATGGGTGTTTATGCTGTTGTAGTGGCAGCCATAATTTCTGGTGAGTTTTCAATTCACTGGGAGACAGTGACAGCATATATAGATTTGAGTTGATTTACTACAAGCAAGAGCACTTTTATGGTGGTGAATGGACATTATTTGAACACATTTTTAATTTATTTTGGTTTGCACCATTCGTTCTCACGGACATTTGATATTTTGTACTATATAGTTTTTTTTTATATGTTTTAGTCATTTTATTATAGGTTTAGTGCTGCACTTCACATTTTCAGTTATTATATAGGTTCTTATACTACCTACTTGTATCAACTGCTTTGTATCACCAGTCAGTGCAGATAGTGTTAATTTTATTTCATCTCCTTGATTTAATACACCTGTGTCCACGGGAGGCAATTGGAACACCTGAATCCAATGATTTGGACGGGTGTCCCAATAGTATTGGCAATATAGTGTGTTTTTTATATATATATAAATAAAAACACACACAGTATATAATCTCACAGTTAGAAGCACTAGTAAATATGTAATATATAAGGTATGGTAAGTATTTTTATTATTATTTCTACTACAGCTCTTTTTTTCTGACTTCTAGAAAATAAAAGTGTTTGTCAAGGTAAAAAAAAATAGTACATCAGTGCAATACATGTACAGTACATGTTATCCCTTTAAAACACACTGCAGGTACATAAACATAACTAAAGAAATGCCAGAAATAACTTTAATTTTGATATGACAACACAATGTATGTTTAGCTCTGAATTTCTAAGCATGTGGTGCAGCCCTATCTACTTTATTTTTGACAGATTACAAAAAGCACAGCCCCTCTCTTCATTTCATTCCCCCTCCTCTTCCCCATAGATTCTCTTCTCCTCTTTGTGCACAAGAGAGGACAGCAATTTATTAATTCACAAAGTTTCTGGCAAAATCAACAGATGTTTATCACTTATCAACCAGAAATAACAAAACACTGTATTGGTATATGTAGCAAACCAAAATGGTTTACATTCACTTAAGTTTAAAAGTTCCCTGCACCACTTACCTCTTTTCTGTGAACTTATTTCCACAGCTCTTGTTATGCTGCCAGCTTTCCCCCTACCAAATCTTTATTGAGGCATATTTTATGTTAAAACAATACTATTTTTACAGTTGGCTATGCCTGGTGCCACTGAGAGAGTTTGCCAGGAAGGACAGTGTCATCATAGTTTTGCTATAGTTCTCCACTATCTGTAGTTATACACCTGAAATGACCTATCCCTGCATTAATAGTCACATGGGTTACTCAGTTACCTTAATCCCTTCACACCTTCCATATAATTCACACCTATCATTATGTTTTTGGGTAATCAACATTTGCCTTGACACATTACGTGGTGATAAGACTTAGGCAATTGAGTTACCCATATAGCAATAAATAGTGGGGCATGTTCCTGTCACTCATTAAAACTGATATTACCTGATATAAACTTAATTTATATTGTGAAATAATCTAACATAAAAATATTAAAAATAGAAAATCCAAAACAGATGGTTGCAGCACACTTCTGTTGTTTGTTGTTCTGAAGCAGGATACAAAGTAACAGTTTTAAGCATATTATGATATATTTACAGTATATATACTGAACATATACAGTGCTGTACAAATGTTGTAGGCAGGTGTCAAGAAATGCTGTAAAGTAAGTGATAATAAGCAATGCATTTAAAAATATATATTTGAATTGTTTATTTTTATCAGTTTACAAAATGCAAAGTGAGTGAACAGAAGAGAAATCTAAATCAAATAAATATTTGTTTTGACTACCTTTTGGCTTCAAATCGGCATCAATTCTTACACTTGCACACTTTGTATACTTGCACAGTCAGGGATTTTGTAGGATTAGAGTGAAGTGTGTGATTAACCAATTATACATAGCAGGTGGTAAAGATCATCAATTTCTTATGTAGGTTGAAACACATTAACTGAAAACAAAAAAAGGCTGTCTAGAAGGCTTAAACTTTGTGAGAAACAGTCAAACTAAGGTGAGGCTGTGAAAGACAGTTTCATGTCACAAGTCATACACCATGACAAGACTGAGCGTAGCAACAAGACGCGAGGTAGTTATACTGCATCAGCAGGGTCTCTCCCAGGCAAACATTTAAAAGCAGATCAGGGTTTCATGTGTGTTTCATGCTCTTTTGAAGGAGGACAAAGAAGCAGACATTGTTGAGGAATGTAGATGCAGTGTCAGACAAGGAAACATAATGCCGCAGATGAAAGACACATCATGCTTACTTCCCTTCAACATCAGAAGATGTCCAGCAGTGCCATCAGCACAGAACTGGTGGAACCAGTGGGACCTAGGTACACCCATCTACTCTCCGGAAAAGTCTGGTTAGAATTGGTCTTCATGGAAACATTGTGGTCAAAAAGACATACCTTGTGGAAAAAAGGCTAAGCAACTCAACTATGCATCGAAACATAGGAACTAGAGTGCAGAAAAATGGCAGCAGGTACTCTGGACTGAGTCAAAATTTTATTTGGCTGTAGCAGGAAGCAGTTTCTTCACAGAAGGGCTGGAGAGAAGTACAATAATGACTGTCTGAAGGTAACAGTGAAGCATGGTGGAGTTGCCAGAATAGGGCTGTATTTCTGCAAGTAGAGTTGGAGATTTGGTTAGGATCAATGGTGTCAACCATGAGAAATATAGGCAGGTACTTATCCATCATGCCATACCATTAAGGAGGTGTGTGATTGACCCCAAATGTATTCTGCAGCAGGACAATAACCCAAAACATATAGCCAATGTCATTAAGAACTATCTTCAGCGTAAAGAAGAGTAAGTTAGAATCCTGGAAGTGACTATTTGGTCCCCACAAAGCCCTGATCTCAACATCTACAAGTCTGTCTGGGATTTCCTGAAAAGACAGAAGGATTTGAGGCAGCCTACGTCCACAGAGGATCTGTGGTTAGTTGTTTGGAACAACCTACCTGCTGAGTTCCTTCAAACATTGTGTGCAAGTGTACCTAACAGACTTGATGGTGTTTTGAAGGCAAAGGGTGGTCACACCAAATATTGATTTGATTTGGATTTCTCTTCATTTACTTTAGATTTTGGTAACTATTGTGGGAACTCGCTTCAAAGTGGTAGAACTTTTAAACGCACACAGCTACTCGCTTTCTTTTTTAAGGCCTTTTTTAGCCATCTTTTATTTAAATGAAAGTTCAAAACAGAAGTTTCCCACACAGGGGTATCGATCATCCACATAAACAAAATTCCGCCTCCTGGCTCTCTCAGATATACAATATTCCACTGGCCTTCCTCTTCAGGCTTACATCTGACTCCTGCAGACCCTTTCAAAAACCATGGCTCTTGCACACAGCTGGCCACTAGCACATAGCTACTACCACGTAGCTCCTTGCCGCTTTTGGCTTCCACCTCTCCTTGGTGGAGCCCTCCTGACTCCTATCTGCCGGGGTGGAGCCCAGAACCCTGGTCCTGACTCTCTCTAAAGGCCTGCACACACCTGTGCAATCAGTCTCCTGGCCTATTCAAACACCTGGTCCCAGGATTGGAGATTTCATCCCTCCCAGATCTCTTTGAAATCTCCAGGCTCCAGATCCCAAAACAGACCTTACAAACAAAGGAGGAAAGTGAAAAGCCACTTTCCTCCGTATCAAACACTTATCCTGGAGCCCCTCAACCTGCCTTGTTGAGAATCCTGGGTGACAGATTGCCACACTGTCACACTATAGATAGAGCCAAGCATGGCTTGGCGCTGCAAGGAGATGGCCACCTGGAATGAGATGAGGGAATCTTCAGTTATTATCCATCCCTGCAATTACGATGAGCAAGATCAGCAAACCCCTGTATTCTGCAAAGATTTTACACTCCCAACTGGGGCAAATCTTACCTGAGATTTTCTGCACACAGCCACCAGGCATGTCAGCATATACTCATCCCAGCCCTTCTCCTTCCTCAGCCTCCCACAGATAATCTGTCACAGCAGCTAAGGGCAAATCCATAACTGACCCAGACACGGTCCTCAGCCTAACTGAATAAATGCCTAAAATTGTGGATTTACAAACTATAGCATCTGACATTAAAAATGCACTTTTGGCAGTGGTAATGGACCTTGTGGAAGAACTCCAGGGTGTGGCAGACTGCTTCATGGTGGCTGACCAGACATTGACCCACCATGAAGATGCTATCAGGAGCCTACAAAAGAGATTACTGCATCATGCATGTCAACTCATGGAGATGCAGTGGAAGCTAGAGGAATTATATAACAGGGGACATCACTGAAGCTAGGGAC